GGTAGCTGTGAGAAGCAACTAGGCATGTGAAAAAAAGAAAACCTATAAGCACCCGCTACGTTTTCGCCGACGAAGTAAAATCGGACGCAGTCCCAGCAATCAGAACTGTTCCCGCATTCGCACAAACACCAATGTTAGTAGAAATTCAGTTGGTCTGGCAACTTTCTGGACAGGCACCGTAACACATGCCCAAAGACTCATGTTGTTTCGGCGGATAAATCCCATCTTCTTCACCTGCCGCACATGTTTCCGCACGAACATACTCTGTGTAGATCCGTAGCGATGAGTACGTGCTCGAAATGGTTTAGCATCAGGACGCAACGTGATTCGAAAAGACTCGACATCGGTCACAGGATCCGCCTGTAGATCAACCCGAAACACGTCCTCAAACTTCATAACAGTCCATCGTAGGACGCGTAAATTGGTTTTGACAAACCCGTTATCACCCTGCCGCTATCATCATGTCATCCAAAATAGAGCGAATTACAGTTGGTGGCAATGGATCAGGCACTCCCAAGTCGAAAGGTCCTTATCCGCTGGATGAGGTCCGGCGGCAAGTTGCGACAGTTGCTCGTTGACATCAATCCCATGTTCTACCAGAGTGCCGTTACCCAAGAGGTAACCCTCTTCATATCTTTCCATGACTTTGCGATAGACGCCAGCAACGTGTAATGGATCAGCTGCCGTTTGCAACAGGAGATCAGTCTGGACGGTTTCGTGGTACTCCACTATGTTACCGTCAGCTGCTACTTTTCATTTCCATCTTAAGCTTAGCTCAGTATGATGGTATCAAGCTCACATCTTACGACAGCTCCTCCAACCCGCAGCCAACGTAGTTGGCAGGCTCACTGTTCGGCTTTAGTTAAGCAGATCTGCAACAAGGCTCATTGTTCATCCTGCAGTTGCTGCCGTAGAAGACAAGCAAGGACACAGATGTTGTTACTGGTTGCAGTTGGGTGCAATCAATAGAAGTTCCTAAGGCGATATCCCCTGGACTGCCGAGGTGGCAGGCGGACGCGTATGCGAATTAGAATAGATAGCTCACTTTACAATCTGCATCAAAACAACCAACACTGTTCAATACACGTTGGTTTTCGGGAGTTCCAGCTCCCAAATCGCGAGCACGTCACAAAGTAACTTAAGTCTCTCGTGCAAACGATAGAACTCGCAGCGGTTGTTCAAATCAAGTTGAGCGAGTATCACCGGCGACTACCAAGATAAATACTTGTACCTAGAGTGGCGAAGCGACGACACAAGCCACGACGGCTATTCTAGTGTCATCGACAGCGATTGTTCCTCCTTACTTGACGGACGTCTCGCACCTTGCTCTCGTGAAGTGGAAACGCGAGCGGCAGGAGTATGAAGACGCCATCGAAGCACGCTGTGCAGTCACTGGTGAAGATAAATCGAAAGCGCTACGAAGCGTAAAAAACTCATTTAACAGGCAACTTATCAACAGGTTGTGCAAATTTGAATGCGGTAGGAATGTGGAGGAGGTTACGGAGGACCGAATTGTTGAAGAGTTGAATAAGATCGTGGGTAACGTCATGAATGACGCGATCCTCGGCGTCGATTCGATTTCCAACCCTGAGTTGAAGGTGAACTTGAAGGAACGGGATGTGTGATAAACTATTTCACGCGATGAAAACATCATGCAACACGGAATGGCAGGTATTTTTCTACTGCAACGGGGATAAAGGGAAAATGCAAGATCCTCAAGATGCATTTAGAGCCTGCGGCGTTGGGCGAATCCGTTGACTCCCACATTCGCCTCGTAGATGCAAGTAGTAAATCAGACGAGAATGCTGAGTACTTGTTGGTGACGGAGAAAGCGTTAGAGCGAGAGATAGTGTATCAGCTCTTAAACAAACGGAAACAACAACCGAGCACATCGCGAGGAAAGGCCCGGTATGACAATGGTCAACGATCACGCGAATACAACAAACTGGCGAATAATCGGTCTAACTCAAACAGAGAAATCCATAAGTCTACCGACCCTCCTCACCCTGCACCTGTACAGTCGACGTTGTCTACGGCACCAGCGAAACTAAGCCAAGGACGGGATGTTTCCACAGTAGCAAAGATCGCTGACTCAGCCAGTGTCCGGATCTTGACGAAGCCGGAAAGGAAGCCGTTTTGGCCGATCGAAAAAGTAAAAAAAGCAGCCAGCAACGACAAAAACAAGCGATTTCGGGTAAATCGTGTAGAGATATCGTCTACAACGAGTAATGAGAACAGCCCGACGGTATTAATTTACGGAAAACTCGAGCTGCCTTACTGTGCCGACAGCGTCTCTGACACGAACATCATTTCGTGCAAGCACGTCGATCTGCTTTGTGAGCAGGATGCGACCGTGGTAGTTGCCGAACTGGATGCACCAATCGTTTCTAGAGCTATTGGCGGTGGTATGGTCACCTCGACGCACGCTGTTGACGTACGCATTACGCTTAACACTGCAGCTGGCACAGTGAGATGTCAGGATGCTAAGAGATGCTTGATTGTCGAAGCCGATGAGGATGAATTCATCGTTGGTAAACTATTATTGGCCGAACTTGGTATCGATGTGGATCGGCAATTGGAGTATTTGGCATCACGTAGTGTGTGAGGTGATTACCCTATCGCTGTAAGATCCGCCAATACAGCCCTGCGAAGTCCAAATTCATGGCTGACTTTAACAAGAAGTTAGTGTCGCTGGGCTGAGTATATGAAAATCGGGAAAGTCGATGGTGTTGTCCAGCTCTACCGGTTAGTAAGCCAAATTCGAAAGAGTTCAGACAAGCCGTAGACTATCGACCTACAAATGCAGTAACTGAGCCGATTGCTGGCGTGATACCAAGTCTCGAAGTGGCTCTTGCATTGTAAGGGCAAGATGTACTACGCAATGTTTGATTTTTTAAGGGTTTTTGGCAACTCCCTTTGGACAAGAGCTGCCAAGAAATCCTCTCGTACATGACAGACAAAGGCGTATTTACACCGATGGGAGTACCTCAAGGTAGCACTGATGCTGCATTGCATTTTCAGTCCACGATTGGGATGGTGTTGGGAAACCTTGTGAACAACTGCGTCATTGTATGGATTGACGATTTGTTAGTCTTTTCTGACACTGCAGAGGAACTGGTGGATGCAATTGAGGCCGTTTTAGTGAAACTCGACGAACATGGTCTAATTCTCAACCCGAAGAAGAGTGCTTTGTTTCTAACTGAAGTTCGCTGGTGTGGGTGTATAATTAATCGAGACGGAGTTCGTCACGATTCGAAACGGATAGAAGCTCTGCAGAATATGCCTGTTCCAACTACCGCTGAGGAGTTGCAACAGTTTTTGTGGTCAAGCAATTGGATGAGATCAGGACTAGTAGACTATGCTCGGCTAGTTCGTCCTCTACAGGAACGTCTTGGTATCGCTCTTGCTGGCACAAAAAGGACTCAACGAGCAGCTGCAGGAATCAAATTGGATCTGACCATCGATGAAGTTGCGAGTTTTGAATCAGTGAAAGAACTACTTGGTAACTCAGCGATGTTAACTTTTCCAGACCCAACCAAGCAGTTGTGTGTTCTCAGTGATGCTTCAGACGTCGGATGAGGACTGGTAGTTTCACAGGTGGAACGGTGGCAGCCTGACCTGCTCATTCAGGAGCAGCAGCATGAGCTTCTCGTATGCATGGGAGGTACCTTCACTGGTTCCGCGCTGAATTGGGGTGCGATTGAAACGAGTCACCCAATAGTTCACGCGTGTGAAAGACTGGAATACCTACTATTAGGACCTCAGGGTTTCCGCCTCTATTGTGATCATAGAAACATTATCTACTTGTTGAGCCACAGCCAAGAGTTGAAGAAGCATGTTCGCGTCAAATTACTGAGATGGTCTATAAAACTTTTGGAGTATTGGTATACTATTGAGCACATTGCAGGTGTTCACAATGTTGTGCCGACATAATTTCGAGATGGGGTGGTGGAGCTCAAAGAGCAGCGCATATACACTCAGCAAAACGATTTACACACCCAAAACGGAAACGTGGTGAACCTATTAGCATTGCATCGACTGTGGAAAAGCGACTACGTCCTCTCGATTATGAAAGTTTTGTGTGGCCTACTCTTGAAGATATTGGATGTGACAAGCCCTGCATACTTCTCCGGCAGGTGCATCTCTTAGTAGTGATGACTTGTGAATTATGGATGGCACAATATGGATACCTAAGACAGCAACGGCTCTAATTCAGCGATTACTGGTAATTGTACATTGCGGACAAAGTGGACACCGCGGTATTCACGTGATGCATAGTCACATTAGCCGACTGTTCTCTAGTAGTGATCTCAGCAGCATAGTTCGCGATTTCTGTTCGAAGTGCCTACTGTGCTTGCACGTGAAAGGTGGAGTGATTATACCCCGACCATTTAGTGAGACGCATCACACTTTTGAACGCAACGAGACATTACATTGGGTTTTTATCCTCTGGGTGAATCGTTTGGTACTTCACGCTACGTTTTAGTTCTGAAAGATGAAGCTACACACTTTGTTGATCTCGTGGCGTGTGGTAGTCCAACTTCGGCAGTAGCAGCTAGCAGAATGCTAGACTGGTACAGTCACTTTGGTACACCGAAGTGTGGGTGAGTGACACGGGATCACACTTTAAGAGCAAAGTGATCGCCGAATTAAGCTGAAGGTTGAAAGGACGTCAAGAGTTCATACTCGCGTATACACCTTGGAAGAACGGTTCAGTAGAGCGGGTGAACAGAGATATTTTGTAAGTTTTAAAAGCCCTGGCGTTGGAATTCAAGATTAGTGTGCATGATTGACCCTACCTATTACCACTTGTACAATCCAGTATCAACCATTCCCCAGTACCTTCACTAGCAAATCGTGCACCCATCGAGTTGTTCACGGGACTACCGTGCCCCAGTACCCTGGATAGTGTATTCTTACCGGGAGGGAAGGGATGTGCTGCCACGTTATCAGAGCTGAAGCCAAAAACAGAGCAGCTCCTCGCTGAGCTACGAGCAAGTATCAACTGTATGCACAAAGCTGTGAAGGATGTACGCCAACGCCAAAGTAAGCGATACAAAGAGCGATCACATTACGAACAGACAATCAACTTCCCAATTGGGGACTACGTTTTGCGATCACGTGTCGACAAGAAGCTGTACGTAAATAAGTTGCGTGTAGTGTGGGTTGGACCGTATCGTGTAGTCGGTAGCGCAGACTACTACTTTACGGTAGAGCATTTAATGATTGGTACTACGATGGATGTACATCCATCTCGATTGAAATTTCACGCAGGTGACTCTCTCAACGTTAATGAAGAATTGATCGACCATATCGCGTCGCAAGGTACTCTGCTTGCAGTAGAAGCGTTTGTGGAACATCGGTTAAATCCAGACATGCAGAGCTATAAGGTCAAAGTCAAGTGGTTTGGTCTCGAACCCATCGAAGACTCCTGGAAACCTATTAAGACGATGAGTGAAGATGTTCCTCAGCTTCTCCTGGAATACGCTACGAGCTCAACAGACGACCTTTTATTACGCGCTGTGATGAGTGCTATTGATAACAAGAAGCGCCAGCGCTCTAAGTCCAACAGAACCTAAGCAATGACTATATCCTTCGAAAAACGATGATCGAGTTGGAGAGGTGGTTGCGTTTATCAGCGAATGGCAACGTTCTGGTTTACGATACCAATGGAGAATTTGGCTTTGGTATTAGTGGATACGATGAGCAAGCTTTAGCGCGTTCGGATGCCGAATGACAATACAATTCAACATTATACCTTTTCGACTCTATGATTGGTTGAAATACGGATCGATGTGGTCTGATTGGGTCGTAGCTGATTGTGCAAATCTTATGGATAGCTACCTGTAACACTTCAAGTTAATGGACTGGTTATGCCCAAATGCGACAAGACAAATTCTCTGGATTTTATATTCGACTAGTCAACGATCAAATGTACTATGAAGTTAGAGGAGGCAGCAAATACGGCGTTGGAAAGCTTGGGGGGACAGTGTGATGGTATCAAGCTCACATCTTACGACAGCTCCTCCAACCCGCAGCCAACGTAGTTGGCAGGCTCACTGTTCGGCTTTAGTTAAGCAGATCTGCAACAAGGCTCATTGTTCATCCTGCAGTTGCTGCCGCAGAAGACAAGCAAGGACACAGATGTTGTTACTGGTTGCAGTTGGGTGCAATCAATAGAAGTTACAAAGGCGATATCCCCTGGACTGCCGAGGTGGCAGGCGAACGCGTATGCGAATTAGAATAGATAGCTCACTTTACAATCTACATCAAAACAACCAACACTGTTCAATACACGTTGGTTTTCGGGAGTTCCAGCTCCCAAATCGCGAGCACGTCACACTCAGCTTCGAGCTTCTTGAGGTCTTCCAAATGTTGCAAGGAAGCCAAGTTTCCTCAGAACCGGTATCGGTAAGGTAAGGATTGGTCAAGAGGTCAGATACCGTGGCTTCACTTGGTGTCGGAGTGATTCCGACGTTCTTGACCCGCCCTCGTCGATTCCATCACTCGGGCTTTGTCAGCTTCACGTGCCGACGGACAACTGCTTGGCCAGTTGGATCCCTTGCAATGCCAGCAATCAGTCTTGGGAGCGAGGTCTACTTCTTGACATTTATGGGATTGGTACCACCACCAGATCCACCAATACCCGTAGAGCCCCAGTTCCAGCCGCTGCTTTGTTGTGTTCAGGCTTGGTGCCCGACTTGGTGATCCGGCAGTCGACTTGTCCTTTGGCAAAGCTTGACTTAACATTATGCTCCTGTGCAAGCACATGATACCCGTGCTGGGCACGAGCCTTCTCCTTAACCATACAAAACAAGTATACGAAGTCGTTGCGCTTCACTTCACGGCATTCGTACTTCACATCCGCTGGACACCTTCTCGAAGAATTTTTGGCTCCAAATTGTCAATGATAACAGTGCACCGGAGCTTCATTCGGTTGTTATATCCGACTTCAGCAGTGTTTCCTACCCCAATAAGCTTTCTGAGCCCATTATCTTCAATAAGAGTCGAAAAATCACAAAAATAATTGAGCATTTTTGCGTCAATGTCATCTTCATGAAGGCCAACGCTCAAATGCTGTCAAAATACAGTGGTGCATCTCGTTTTCGACAGGGCAGGCCATATAGAGTCTGTTAACGGCGAAAATTATGCAGGAACGCAGATGGGCCAAGTGTACTGTTTTTTATTACTTTAATTCAATAGAAATCGCAGATCCATCTTTCCGCTGTGACTCCAGCAGTTTCTAGTTGTCTTCGTCGAAACACCAGACCAGCCTTCTGAGCACCACTTCATGGCTGTATAAATATCGACTGGTTTATAGTTTTCGCCCTGATAGAACATGTCCAGCTCCGCTTCTTGCTTTGTTGTCCGGTAATGATCCTTGAGGCACTTGATGATCCCTTGATCCATCGGTTGCAAGGCAGCAGTTGTATTTGGTGGAAGCTTGTGGATGACCACGTAGAAACTTTTGTTGTCCGGTAATGATCCTTGCGGCACTTGA